TGCCAGCCTTTTCATCCCACGGAAGGTTGGAGGTGGATGTCATTTCATTCACAGGTAAAAGCAGAGAGTTGTGTGTGGTAGGGCCCTGCAATTTCCCACTGACTCAGCCTGTGACCTTTCGGGAGAGATCTCAGAGAAAGAGAGGGTGAAGAATACAGGCTTGCCTTCCCAAGGCTCAAGTAGGGTTTGTCACTGGGGCTTGTTTTAGGAGGCGGGTGTCGAGAGTTGAGTTAATCTGACTACTTGGGTCCTGGATATTTGCATCACTGATCCTTGTGAGACCCCTCTCTTGGATTTATTTACTTCCTTATCCCTTTTACTCCTCATCTTGAAATTCCACCCCCCTCTCTCACACATAATGATTTTTGTGTTTGTCTCTTCATCCTTCTGCTTGCATGTTTTTATACAAATACTATATGTTTGCAGTATTTTTAATTTATGTAAATATTCTATCTCATTGTTTCTTATCTTTTTTCACTGTTTTTCCCCCTGTTCTTTTTTTTTTTTTTTAGTTTATTTATTTATTTTGGGGGGGGGGGGGGAGAGGTGTAGAGAGAGAGGGAGATAGATGATCCCAAGCAGGCTCCATGCTGCCAGCACAGAGCCCGATGCACGGCTCAATCCCAAGAACCGTGAGATCATGACCTGAGCAGAAGTCAAGAGCCAGACACTTAACAGGCTAAACCACCCAGGCACCCGTCCCCCTGTTCATTTCACTGCCTTAAGCATCCACGTTGCTATGTGTACAACTGATCATTTACTTCAGTCCTGCGGCATTGTACTCCCTGGTATGTGTTCATTACATTTTATTTCTCGATCTCAGCGCCAGAAACTCAGGTAGCCCCCAACTTCCACTACAAGTAACTGTACACAAAGGAATTGCACATGTCTCCTAACACAGAGCTGTGTGAGGATTTCTTGGGATGTATACCTAGCAGAGAAATTGCTAGTATGCTACACTGAAAATAGTGTAAAATTTTCAGTGAAAAAATACACTGACTCATAACACCAGATCGTTCCCCCAGAATGTTCACCAGTGCCCCTTTCTGCTGTCTTCCCATGGGCGGTGTGCAAGCACCGTCATGTCCCACGTCTCTGCCACCACTGGGTGTGACCCTTCTTTCTATATGTTGCTAATATAAACGGCAAACAGTGATATCTCTTTGTTGTTTTAATTTGCATTTTTCAAATGTAATGCAGTAAGCCTGGTGTTCACAGCTCTTCATTTCAGGATCTGTTTCCCAGGAAAATTGACTTGTTTGTGGAGTTCTGTGTTCTGTATGATGCGTGTTTATATCCTTCCCCTGCTTTTTTAAAAAAATTTTTAATGCTTATTTATTTTTGAGAGAGACAGACAGAGTGTGAGCGGGGGAGGGGCAGAGAGAGAGGGAGACACAGAATCCAAAGCAGGCTCCAGTCTCTGAGCCGTCAGCACAGAGTCTGACGCAGGGCTCAAACCCGCAAACTGCGAGATCATGACCTGAGCTAAAGTTGGACGCTTAACCAACTGAGCCACCCAGGCACCCCCCTTCCCCTGCTTTTCTATTGCTGTCATAAATGTTTAAGATCCTTGCATATTCTTCCTATCAGCCTCTATTCCTATTTTGTCATCAGTCTGTTAATGTTATCTTTTGTTGATTAAAGCTCTTTTATTGATTAGAAATCCTTAATTTCGATGTGATCAAGTTAATAAAATTTTGTGTTATGGTTTATGTTTTTGAAATTTGGTTGTAAAAGAGCTTTCCCAGATTACAAAGATATTTCCCTTCACTTAATTCTACGAATTTTATTTCTACTATTTTTCTTTAACCTTTTATACTGCGGTCTTTAAACTGCCCAGAACCCTCTCTATGTGTGGCATTAAGGAGGGATCCAATTTTCTTTTTCCCCATGTAGCGAGCCCATTTCCCAAACGCCATTTACTAAATGCTCTTCCCTTCCCCCACCATTTGTGGTACCACCTTCATTCGATATTAATTCCTGACATACACATGAGTGTATCTGAGCTCTCTCTTCTGTTGGCCTATTTGTATGTTTTTTCAACTACTGTTTTTTTTATCATGTTGGCTTCATAATATGTCTGATTATCAGAAAGGGTAAGAGCTCCTCTTCTCTTCTTTTTAGAAGTTGACTTAGCTGTGCTCCCATGTCTTTCTCTGTCCTGTGCCACCATAGTTTGGGTATAAGCTGAATTCAAGTGTTTTGGTTGAGCTGGGAGCAGTGGGCCTGCCAGCCAGCATGCCGGAACGTAACCTGCATCATCAGACAAGAGGCACAGGGGAGAAACTTCAGGAAGAAGTCAAGCCAAGAGATGATATCTGGCCAGCACTGGACACTAGAAAGTCCTGACAATTCTCTGCGAAGTGGAATCCAATCTGATCCAAGAGAAACAGTCAAAGGCACCCAGGTCTTAATGAGCCTGGGAACCTAATCAGAGGCATTAGTAATGCACGATATTAACAGTGCAGTCCTGCCAAGGAGAAAACCCTATCTGTGTCCTTGCTTGCTTGGCCTGTGCCTCCGAGGATTGCAAGGGCCTGTCAAAAGGTTAGCTCATTGCCACCTTGTCTCTCTGCTGCTTCTGCAGCTCTTCAAACGCGCTGTTCTCAAAACCTCAGCTTTCAGGCATGTAGCATTTTTGTTTTGTGATAATTAGGAGACTGTGAGCAGGCCATGGTTAGTCATCCGTGGTGTGAAGATGACGGCTGCTCCAGCTCTGGAGGTGCTTTCGGGTTCAGACACGTCAGGCTATAGTTAAAGACAGAAGCTGATGCGGGAGAATGAGGTGACTCATCATCAAAACCTTGAAAACCAAGTTCAAGGAGAGGGCCAAGGCTTTCCAAATGTAGAATCTGCTCGTTGGTGGTGCTGAAGCTTCGCCTGGGCATAGGTTACGCTGTTAACTTCCATTTCCTCCTCACCAAGGACTGGAAGGCCAGGAGAATCAGCCCTGTTTGGTTCAGTCTGAACAGCTGACTTAGCATTGACCCAATTCTGCAAAACCTGTTCTGGGTGTTTGTGTCTCCCTTTGGCCTCGTGATGTTTTTTTCACCCTTCATCCTCCACTGCTGTATGATGCTCGTGTCCCTTCCCTTGTGGGAAGGGGAGGCCTACATCATCTGCTCCCTCTGGAGAAGGGTCACATCCCGACTGGGGATTGACCTGGGCAGGGCTCTCATTTGACCCGTGGAGTTCTGCTGAACCCCAGAAGGCCAGCATTCAGTGGCCTTATTGCTTTGCCTCTCTGTATCTGGAGAAAAGGGGGGGAAGGCCTTAATCTCTCCTCTTCATTTACCCCTATTTCTTTTGCTCTGGGTACATGTTGAAAGCTCAAGAGAGTCCATTAACTATCCTTCTCTTTCCTTTAAGTCTTCTTCCAATGCAATGGTCGGTGTTCAGAACCTCTTCAGCCTGTGTCAGAGACTAGCACAGTGTCTTAAACAAATTCAGACTCAGCTGAAGGACTTTCAGAGGACTTTTGGGGTCCTTACTCTGAGGGCTCTAGGAGGGCTTTATCTGATGTTGGCCTGCCTGGAGTCATAGAAGGTAGGAAAGGGTTTGGGGATGGCTTCATTTCTCAGAATCGGTGAGTGAAGGAAGCAGGCTAGGCTGTGTTTTAAGACACTTAGTGGGATTGTCTAGGAAGAATCCACTCAAAAGCCCTGGGACCTAACACAGAGATGAGCAAAATATTCACAAAAAGAGGTATCTCGATGGTGGGGATCAAGATGTTGACTAACTCTGTGGAAAATTAGATCACCATTCTCCTTCTCCACTCTCTATCCCAGCCTTTCAGGGGGAAAGGAGGGTTGTAGTCCAGCCCTCGGTCAGGCCACTGGACAGGATGCTGGGTGGAATGAGACTTGTTCACACAGTCTGCTCTGTGCCAGTCAGAGGCTCATCAGATGTAGCAGGAGGACAATGACCTTGTGTAGGGCTTTGAGGATCCTGAAGTGTTCCTCTACCTCTAAAGCCTCTGCTTGTCCACATATCTAATTAAAGCCAAAGAATCTGCAGCCCAACTCTAGAGGGCTATGAGTTCATCAAACACTTAGGCAGAGATGCTTCTTACAAAAAGAGCAATTGCATCCCACAAATCGGCTTTCCCATATTTGGTCTTCTCCCAGGGATATTAAATATAACTTTTCATATGTTGCAGGCTTCACGTAGCCAACCATGTGGCTAACAGACTTCTTGGTACGGGCTCTAAATTTGGCCTAGCAGTCCCTGAGGGGATCTCTGAAAGTTAGGCTGTACTAAACCACTCTGAAAAAAGTTGCATGTGGGTGAGAACAGGTGGGCAAAGGCAGAGGTGGGTCCAAGTAAGTGTGTATCAGGGCTCTCCTTCCGGCCCACTGTTTCTGCTCCTTGGGCCACCACTCTCTCCCTGCAGCTTCTGAGAAGCTCAGTTCATTTCTTGTCAACTTGGCCAGACCAGATGCAACCAGGAAGAGCTATTTTTCCAGGAATGGCAGTTGGAAGCCACTCTGCTATGCTTTCTTGTGGGCTATGGGTGCTGTAGGTGAAGAGAAGCTGGGGAAGAAAGCTCCTTTATGATCCAGGGGCTCTGATTTTTGCTTGAGAAAGCAGGGGGAAGAGACCTCAGGACAAGGAATCAGAGATAGTGCACAGAAGGATTGCAGATAGTAAACTATCCACAGAAAGATGCATAGGCTTGCTACAAAGGAAAAGAAATACGAAGACAGAAACAAGCCTCAGGCTCCACCACACAATTTGCCAAAGCAGGACCCACCCTGACTCTAAAGTTTCAACTCAGGTCAGTCCATCACATACCTCCAGGACAAGTGGCCACAAAAAATGAATCTCATTCACTTTCTCTCATGGGGAGCATTTGTCTTAGCTTCTGCGCAATTCTGCTTCTTGGTTTTATCTTGCAAATCCTCTCCCTTGACTCCTATCGTATATCCCTAACTGTTTTGGCTTCCCCAATTTGACATGGCAACAGTGACTACAAATGACAAAACTCAGTGATAGCACAGTTCTGTGCTGGGGAAAATGGCATATTTAATGGCGTTGGAGACCCTATAAATCAGTTGCGTCTTTCTGGAGAGTCATCTGGCAATAGCGAGAGCTGAGTCCTAGCCATGGCCCGTTCATTCCATGTAAGGAAGCACATCTGGAACAAATAAACACGAAAGGATGAAAGAACTATTGGTATGAAAATAACCATGTTGATGTTATTAATACTAATGAACTAGAAATGATACAAACGTTCACCCTGAGGCAAATTACGATGTGCCTGCATAATGGACACAGGATTACAATTAAAAGTGACAAACATGAGGACTTTTGACACAAAAAAAATCTGAATATGAAATAATAGTAGAGAAAAAACACACTGAGAAGTGTATACTCACTTTTATTGTACAACGTGAAAACTTGACAAGCATCAGAAGGGAACGAACAGAAACAGAAGCCCTCAATAACCTGTGACGGGTGTTTTCCTCCAGAAAAGTTGTGTAAGTTCATAAGAAAAGGATCGCCTAAATAAAATGGAAAGGACAAGGCCACTTTCTGGTAGGTGTTCCCATGCTGGCTTGGGTGAGGGGCTTGACTCCTTTTAAAGTTTTGTTTCTTCCCTGGATGTGCTCAGCTCAAGGAGAGGACAGGAGCCTTTCTAAGATCTCTCACCTCAGTAGCTCAAGGAGAGGACAGAGGCCTTTCTAAGATCTCTCACCTCAGTGGCACTGCACTCCACACTCTGCTCCTGCCACCCAACAGTCTGGTCTGCAGAAACCTCTCGGCTTCCTTTTCCCAATCCTACCTCATTTTTCAAAAGTTAACCTGAGCCAAGAGCCTACTGGAAAACACCTGGAGAATGTTTGTCTGCAGCAGTGGGTAATTGAGATGGCACCAGACCGGGGGGCCGAGGGCCATGGTTCTAGTTCCAGCTTTGCCACCACCTTGCTGGGTAGTCATGGGCAAGTCATTCGAGACTTGGGCAAGTCAGGGTCATGGTTTCTCACTTGTGAAATGGAAATGTTGGATCAGGTTTTTTCTTTGTTTCTTTCCTTCCTTCCTTCCTTCCTTCCTTCCGTCCATCCATACTTCCTCCCTCCTTTCCTCCTTCCTTCTTCTTTCTTTCTTTCTTTCTTTCTTTCTTTCTTTCTTTCTGCAGGGGAGAGGGGCAGAGGGAGAGAGAGAAATAATCTTAAACAGGTTGCACTCCATGAAGAGTGCAGAGTCTGACGATGGCTCGATCTCACAACTGTGAGATCATGACCTGAGTCGAAATCAAGGGTCGAATGCCTAACCAACTGAGCTGTCCAGGTGCCCCATGGACCAGGTAATTCCTAAAGTCCTTGAATTTCTTTTTTTTTTTTTTAATTTTTTGTTTAACGTTTATTTATTATTGAGAGACAGAGAGACAAAGAGCGTGAGCAGGGGAGGGGCAGCGAGAGGGGCAGACAGAATCTGAAGTAGGCTCCAGGCTCTGAGCTGTCTGCACAGAGCCTGACACAGGACCCGAACTCACAAAGTGCGAGATCGCGACCTGAGCAGAAGTCGGTCGCTCAACCAACTGAGCCACCCAGGCGCCCCAAGTCCTTGAATTTCTGACATGTCTGTGGTTCTATCTTTATTGACTCAGAACTAGGAAGAGTCCTGAAATGGGATTCACGTCACTCTGAGGCAGGGAATCAATTCTGCCATCCAAGGCCACTGCCTAGAAACCCTGGAGGCCAGGGTACCTCTCTCTGTAGGCGCAAAGTCTCATCAAGGAGATTAAAAGAAAAAAAAAGTGCATGTTTTGGGTCTTTGTCCATTAATAACAATGAATAACAGTTCAATGTTTCTTAAAAGGGTTAAGGGCCTGAAGTTTCCAGAAAGAAGTAGGTCTCCTGTAAAAGAAGACCAGAAGAGTCCCTTTGACCTCGGGTTCCCAGATCGAGACACTCTGACCAGCTCTGAAACAGCTCATTGGGATGGCAATGATCAGAGTTTGGTATCAAACTATTCCTCTCATTGTGCCTGTCCAGAGAACCAAGCAATCTAAACAGGAGTGGAGTCACAGAAGCTTCAGCCAACTGGAGAAAGGGCATTTGAAACAAGTCAGAACTCTTCTAGGTACACTGTGATCAAGAAGAAAAAGATTGGTGAGAGAAAGGTAGAAACTAAGAAAATGTGGCTGGCTGTGGTGTGCAGGGAAGGCCCATATGTCCACTTCGTATAAATCTAATGAGCACATCTGTCCTTTTGCAGTGAAAAGTGGATGATGAGGGGTGGACAAAGGGATGGAAAAAGGGAAAGCTTTTGTCTGCACTTGACAGAGAGGATGAATGGCCTCTTGGCTGCTTCAGAGGCTGGGCTGCAATAAAAGAGTAGGTAAAGCTCTTCTCACTGAGAAGAGGGGCACTTGAGCCCAGGAATGTCCTGCCCGCAGCAAAGATCTTATGGGCACAATGAATAGAGCATATTTTACGACATGGAGCTGTATGAATTAGTTTTCACAAAGTAACAAATCATCTCCAAAAGTGGCTTAAAACAACGATCAACAAAGTAACAAATCATCTCCAAAAGTGGCTTAAAACAACGACCATTTATTTAGGTCATAGTTCTGCGGGCTGGCTGGGCAGTTCTGGTCCGGGCCAGCTTGGCTGAGCTCTGCTAGGCTCTTGTGCATCTGTGGTCAGCTGGTGAGTCGGCTGGCAGTTGAATGATTCAGGATGGCTTCACTCACATGTCTGGAGGCTAACAGGCTGTTAGTAAGAATTATGGAGCAACTGGGCCACATGCCTCTCATCAGCCAGCAGACTAACATGGGTTTGTTTATGTGGCAGCAGATTTCCAAGAGCAGCAAGAGAGGAAGCTGCAATGCCCCTTGAGGCCTAGGCTTGAAACCTGTACATTGTCATTTCTAAAGCATTCTATTGATCAAGGCAAGACACAAGGCCGGCTAGAGTGACTGCCTGTCCCAGTAAGCCTGGGACTGAGGGATTTCCCAGGACATGGGACTTTCAGTACAAAAACTTGGAAAGTTCTGGATAAACTGGGACAGACAGTCGCCCTAATGGTCAGCCCAGATTCAAAGAATGGGGAACTTGACTAGACATTTCTCCAAAGGAGATATACAAATGGCTGGTGAACACACAAAAAGATTTGCAACCTCACTAATCATTAGAGAAATGTAAATCAAGCCACAACAAGATACCACTTCATACTCATTAGGATAGCTATTATCCCAAAACCAGAGAATCAGAAGTGTTGCAGAAGATGTGGGAAAAATGCGACTCTGGTGCATTGCTTCTGGGAATGTCAAATGGGGCAGCCCATAAAATTACGCTATGGATCCAGCAATTCCAGTTCTGGGTATATGCCCCCAAGAATTGAAAGCAGGGGTTCAAACAGATATTTGTACACCTATGTATGTTCACAGCAGCATTATTCAACCAACAGGTTGAAGTAACCCAAGTTTTTGACCAACAGGTCAAAGTAACCCAAGAGTCTAATGGAGAACCCAAGTATGAATGAATAAACAAAATGTGGTCTGTGCATACACTTGAATATTATTCAGCCTTAAAAAGGAAGGGAATTTTTTTTTTAATTTTTAATGTTTATTTTTGAGAGAGAAAGAGACAGAGTGTGAGCGGAGGAGGGGCAGAGAGAGAGAGGGAGACACAGAACCCGAAGCGGGCCCCAGGCTCTGAGCTGTCAGCACAGAGCCCGACGTGGGGCTCGAACCCATGAGCCGTGAGATCATGACCTGAGCCGAAGTCAGACCCTCAACCAACTGAGCCACCCAGGTGCCCCACAAAGAAAGGGAATTCTGATACATGCTACAACTTGGTTGAACCTTGAAGGTGCTACACTGAGCGAAATAAGCCAGGCACAGCATGAAAATACTGTATGATTCCACTTACGTGTGGTACCTAGAGGAGTCAAATGCAGGGCGATAGAAGAATGGTGGTTGTCAGGGGCGAAGGGAGGAGAGAAGGAGTCAGTGTTTCATGAGTCTAGTATTTCAGCTGGGGAAGATGAAGAGTTCTGGAGATGGATGGTGGTGATGGCTATCTAACAATGTGAAGGTGCTTAATGCCACAGTGCTGTGCATTTAAAAAGGGTTAAAATAGAAAATTTTATGTTATGTATATGTTACCACAATAAAAAAAGGGAACAAGGAAATGAGCTATCCTAGGGGCGCCTGGGTGGCGCAGTCGGTTAAGCGTCCGACTTCAGCCAGGTCACGATCTCGCGGTCCGTGAGTTCGAGCCCCGCGTCGGGCTCTGGGCTGATGGCTCAGAGCCTGGAGCCTGTTTCCGATTCTGTGTCTCCCTCTCTCTCTGCCCCTCCCCCGTTCATGCTCTGTCTCTCTCTGTCCCAAAAATAAATAAACGTTGGAAATGAGCTATCCTAGAAATGAGAGGAGCTACAAACTCTTGTGGCCATTTTTGCCCTCTGCCACAGGGGTGAGCAGGAATATAATTCAATAAGGCTGAGCTTTTGCAGGAGATCATAGTTTTTGAGGAAGTGTTCTGGGAGACAGCAACCAACATCCAAATATTGGCTATTTTGATACTTACTCTTTCCTTTGGGAGCCAGTTGTGACTTGTGGTTTTTCATCTGGGTAGGAAAACAAGAGGGAATGAGAGAAGTTACGTGCTGATGAGTGAATGGGATAGGGAGGACATGTGGTAAGACTTTGGAACCGACCAGAAAAGTAAGATAAAATCAAAATAAGTCAGAGCCCTAAAGAAATCACTCACCTATTTAGAGGGGTCCCAGTTGCCCTGTCCAGCTTCCTGGATGCCGCTGGTAAATTGCAGCAGACAGAGCAGGCGGTCAATAAGGACACACCTGAGGCACCCGAGGAGCTGAGCCCACGGCAGCCTGGCTCGTGTGCTGCCTCCCCTCCTAGTGTCTCTCTGTTTGGTGTTCATAAGAGTCTGTGTTTATGGGAAACTCTGAGTATGCCTGTTCCTCTAGTCCAGTGGTGAGAGAAGCAGACGACGGGGAGGAGTGAGGAAAGGCATTAGTGCATGTGGGTGGCCAGACGGGGTGGAGGCAGAGGAGGCAAAGGAAGCCGTGAAGCAGATGACCATGAGAAAAAACCAATCTCCCAAGAATGCTGTGGCTGGAAGGGACTTGGAGAGCATCTCGTCTACTCTACCCATCAGAGGATAAGAAAAATGAGTCCAGAAAGCTTCACAGACTTGTCTAAGGCTACCCACCCAGGTGAGCAGGAAGTGTCACAGCTGGTAGTTGAGACCCATTTCTAAGCTGGAGCTCCATCTCTGCCTCCAGTGGCTTCCAATGTCTCACTGAATCTTCTCCACACTAGTCACTGGAAGAGAGAGTGGCAAAACCTGACCATGATGTGCCTTTACTGCCCCAGATTTGATCTACTGCAGGAAAACCATGCCCTCAGGTACACACACACACACACACACACACACACACACACACATGTCTTCTAGTTCCCTCGGCCCTGCAAAGTCTGGTACAGCAGTGTACCTGTCCTCTTATCAGCTTTTTAATTAAAGTCTTCTATATTTCCCAATTTCCCCACTCAAGTCCATAGGGAGAAGTTATTTTTAGGTGTTACAGAAAGTACAGTGCAGACCAAATCTTTCTTCTGAGCTCCATGACTAAGATTTAGCTTGCTCTGGGTTTGTTGCTTAACACTTAAAGGTCATCAGTGGGTGGACATAGCTTGTCTCAGGAGGCTGAAGTGCTAGGGGATTAAGTAGCACTGAATGCCATAACCTCCTCCCCTTTTTTTGTCCAGGGAGGAAAACTTCTTGGACAAACCCCAATGAAGAATCATCTGGTGAATTAATTTACTGATCCAGTTGCCTTTTCCAGCTGGGAAGGTTTCAACATTGGTAAAAGGTAGTAACAGGTCCCCTGAACTCTGCGATGTCCAGGGCTCATTGTGGTGCCCTGGGAATCCCAAGATGTGAATCTACACACATTCATTAGGAACCTACTATGGACAAGTGACTGTAGGCTTTTCAAGAGGGGACAGATACAGTGACTGCCCTTGGTGAGCTTACAGTCTTGTTGCAAGGAAATAAGGCAAGGACCCAACTCAAGACAAATGGACAAGATGAGGGTTCAGAAGGCACCAAGCACTTGTATCTGAAACACAAGTGGTATAGGCTGGAACCAGAGAGCAAACAATCTGGAAATGCCAGCTTGGCCACCACCACCGTCCTTTCCCTAATGCTTGCCTGTCAGGGCAGTGCCAGAGAAAGGATCCAAGGCTACCTTGAGAGATCAGGTCAGGCCAAGTGGGGAGGGACATGCCAAGAAGCTTGAAAATGAAGCTGTGGGCTAAAAGGAAGGCAGGGAAAGGGCAGAAGCAGAACAGGAAGCCAAGAATTAAGTGGGGTGGAACACTATATTAGTTAGGGTGCAGATTTAGCTACATGGGACAGAGACCCAGAGTAACTGTGGTCTGTTTAAACAAAATAGAAGTGTATTTATCAAGTAAACTCTGAGCTGATAAAATGGTTCTGCTCAGTGAATCATCAGAGGCACAGGCTTCTTTTCTGCTCCATCATCTCTGGGTTGTTGTCCTCATTTGCATGGTTCAATATGGCTCACCACCACCACACATGGTTCAATATGGCTCACCATCCACACTTCAACCAATAGATAGGGGGAAAGGAACCATGGCCAGGCAGCCCCCTTCCCTAGAAAGGCAAAGAAATTGCTCTTGCCATTTCCACTCACATCCCAATAGCCAGAATCTGGTCACATGGCAATGCCTAGTTACAAAGGAAGAATGGGGATTGTCACCTTTATTGTGCATGAGAAAGTGCTCTGCTAAATTTTTTTTTTAATTTTTAATGTTTACTCATTTTTTGAGAGAGATAGAGACAGAGCATGAGCTGAGGAGGAGCAGAGAGAGACGGAGACACAGAATCTGAACAGGCTCCAGGCTCTGAGCTGTCAGCCAAGAGCCCTACATGGGGCTCAAACTCACGAACCGTGAGATCATGACCTGAGCCGAAGTTGGACGCTTAACCGACTGAACTACCCAGGCAGCCGTCTGCTAAAATTTCTAAGAAGGGAAGAATAGGTATTGGAGGACACCAAGCACTCTCTGCTACAGAGACTTGGGCTCTAGACTTGAATTTAACCCTCCCCAAGAAGAGCTGGACCTCACTGATTTTACATAAGCAGATACTCCGTCCCACTCTGCTCTAAAGAACCTGAAAGGCTTGCCTTCTCATTTAGTAGGCGAGACGGCTCTGCCCTCTAATGTCCCACGGAGGCATCCTCCCTGTCTCCCTGAGTCCTGGGTACAGAGGCTTGACACTGAGCCTTAACCTGATGCGTCCCTATGGGGATAGGGAATGAGAACAGGAGCCAGGCTGGCATCATTCTGCGTACGTAATAGAGCCGGAAGAGTTGTGAAACCCAGGAGGTTCTGCAAGGCTGTTCTGCAGTAAATACTTGTTATAAAAATAAACCTATCTTGCTATTCAACAACAATGAGCAATACCCTAGGGTTGCCAGCGCTAGAAGTACTCGTACGTCTCTGGGCACAGTGCTACAGGATGCGGGCCAACCACGGCAGCACTCACAAGCACACACCCTCTCCCTCAGTCTTCTGCACCTCACTACAGACTCCGCCCTCCTTCAGGGTTTCAACCGCCAGGGGCCGAGAGGTTAGGAACACAGCAGGCACAGAGAAATGTAAAGTCCCACCTTCGAGTGAAAATCAAAACAAAACAAAATAATTGGCAAGGTAGGGGACGGGGAGCTTGGCTGCAGCTGGTGTACCAAAAAGATCCAAGGGTTTTCATGGATTCTGCCATTAATATGAGCCAATGGTTGGGAGTTAGCATAAAAATGCTAATGTGGTCTTTAACTGCGTTGGAAACAGTGGAGTGTCCAGGACAAAGGGGGTTGTTAATCCTGTTGCAGATCAGAGTAACACACGAGGTCCATTCAGAAAAAAAGGCTCTAGAATGGCAGGAGAATTCAACACTATGGAAGTGAGAGAACTGGACCCCTGCAGCCTGGTGAAGGCCCAGATGGACACATGACCGTCTTCACATACCTGAAAGGTTGTGGGATAAGGGAGCAACTTGTTCTGTGTGGGCTCCAAGGGGAAAGTTACAGCCCGGCCAGTCTTGTTTCAGAATAGAATTAGAATTGTCTAGAGATGGAATGCTCTTTCTGATGAGAGAATGAGTTCTCCATTGCTGGGGTTTGAAAAAAGCTAGGTAAATCTCCATGTGGGATGCTTGGCAGAAATTCACACATTGGGTAAAGACAGCACTAGCTGATCTCTTGAGTTTTTTCCACCTCTGAGGCCTTATGGTTCCGTGTGTTTTGCTTTTTAATTAAGCTTTTTTTATTTGGAGGTAATTATAGGTGTATATGCAGTTATAAGATATAATACAGGGAGATCCTATGTACCCTTTACCCAGTTTCCCTCAAAGACTGGCAAGACTGTAATATAATCTCACAACCAGATTATTGGCCATTCCAATAAAGTCTGTCCTACCTACCTGCCCTTAAGGAGGTACCAGTCTAAAGGAGAATAAGATGTATACATAATCAAAAATAGTGCAAGTTTGGGTATAAGATACCCAACTGAGTAGAGCCAACCAAATGCCATGGATGACCAGAAGACAAAAAAGATCACATCTGCCAAGGGATGTCCGGGATGGGGGGTGGGGATGGGATGGAATTGAGGAGCCTTGAAGGAAGAATAGGAACCTGACAGAAGTGGGCATCCTTAGTTAAGGACCTCTGGGCACCAGGCTCATTAAAAGCTAGAAGATAAGCCGACTTGTGAATGACTTCCTCTTGTTACAGATCTACTACAGAACCCAAAAGTGCCAAAGAAGTGAACATAGAAGCCTGAGGAGTCTTTGGCAGACTCCGGGCTGTGCTTCATCCTGTTCCTACTTCCTCCCTAGGGCCCACGCGTTTTGGGTGTTAGCGTCTGCCGAATGAATGCTGGGTGAAGAAATGAATGAGTAGATCTCTGGCCCTGTTGCCCCAATTGTGCTCTCCTTCCTGCTCTTCCTTGCTTTCGTTCTCCCACAAAGCGTGCAAGAGCATGAAATCAATGGCATTGGTTTAATCTGGGTGATTGCCTAAAACCCATGTGGTTTTCTGGTGTTATAGGAGAGCATGTGATGCTGATTAAGTCTGAGGTCACAGGTGCCCCACAAAACCCCCAGAGGCCAGTTCATTTTTTTCTCCTCTGTGGCTACAGGTTCTACACTGCTTTCAAGGCATACCCCTGTTCAAAGGAATCTCATATTCCACAATAATCATCTTTCCCTTAAACGTTTTAACAATCAAGCCTGCAGAGCAAGTCTCTGTACTTGCTTACCTTTGCCCCTGCCTAATCTGCCTCACCTCTGGGTTTGTGGTGTGAGAAAGGAATGTGTTTCCTAGAATGGCAGAGCTTGGGGTGTTGAGGAGGAAGTCTTTGAAATTTAGAAATCATCTGGCCCTACCCCCTTATTTGAAGACTGGAAAATGGAGGTCAGGCGGGGGCATGTCCTGCCCAGTGTCATCTTGTGAGCCACTGTGCAGTGGGGAGCAGAGCGCCAGCCTCTTCCGACGTTCAGTCCAAGGCATCCAGCTGTCTCCTCCTCCGACAAAGCCAGCCCCTCTCAAGCCTCCTACCCGTGGCCATGTGCCAAGAGTTTCTAATGCTTATGACAACACGGCATAGGAATTAGGTGTACTTGGTTTTCCTTATGTACAGAAGCATAAAAAAGATCAAAGCATTTACAGTTTGATGACGTTCCCAAATGCAAGTTCAAATTGCTGAGTTAAACAGCCAGCAATTTTTTTTAGAGGGCTTTCCGGAGTAATTACTCAAGATGGAATTAAACCATATTTGCATTTGGCTCCTTCCCATTCCCTCCCACTGCCTGGAAAGGGGAGGAGGGGCGAACCAACAAAGAAAATCTTGCGAGGCTATTGCTAATTACAGATTTTTACCTGCCTGATGTTCTTTTGCTTTGCACATTAATTAAATCAAGACCAGGTGTCTTGCAGATGGGTTAGCTGCTGGCTATCGGAAGAGATTAATAGATCCCTGCAAATGGGTAGGGGAAAAAGCTCTCGAGTTTTATGGGTCATTGAGGCTGCTTCTCTCAGCAGAAATCAAGAGTGAGAGAGACAGAACTTGAGCTGAAGTGGCCTAGTTCATTAGAGATGTCAGTAGCTGCTCACGTGTTCACCATCTCTAGAGCCCCTGACAGCAGGCAGAGCCCCTCTGCCCCCAGATCTGGCCAAACCATCAGATTGGAAGGAAGTCAGACCTCAGATTCTTATTCTGAAGTAAATTGGTTCAGGACAATTGGAGGTTTGTGTCTGGGATCAGAGGCTGCGACAGGGCCCTGAGCAGGTCAGCGATGTGATCAGGAGCCAAGTCTTCTGCCTCCCTACTTTCACTATGGACTCTGACGAGCTTCCCCACTGCGGTCAAAGCTGAGAAGGAAGAGGGGTGCTTGGGTGGCTCAACCGGTTAAGTGTCTGACTTCAGCTCAGGTCATGATCTTGCGGTTTGTGAGTTCGAGCCCTGTGTCGGGCTCTGTGCTGACATCTTAGATCCTGGAGCCTGCTTCAGATTCGGTGTCTCCCTCTCTCTCTCTGCCCTTCCTCCACTCGCTCAAAAATAAATAAACGTTAAAAACAAAAAAAGCTGAGAAGGAAGAGATGCCGGAAACAGACTAGACTTTAAAAGGTCCTCCAACATGGTTGAGAAAACAGCTGTACTCTAAAGGCCAGGGCCCTTGTCCCTACCCCTGTAAAAAGGACTTTGGGTTAAAACACAGAATGACACCCGGTCCCAGTTGTGTCGTGGCTCAGAGTTCCTGATTCCATTGGTTGAGGCCAGGTCAGGTTTCCTTCTGGAGGACCCCGGATCCGTGCCGAGGCCAAGATGAAGCAGGGTGGGGGAGGAGGCTGGGCAGAGGGAAACAAAGGTCACTTATTATTTACAAAGAACGCATTTGTCCTAGCGTGTGAAGCCCTGAGTTTTTGCACAGTACTGGGCCATTCACTGGAGCCCTGAGCTCACACTAACAAACTAATTGGTTCCAAATGCTCCTAAAAAATCTGCCTTCCGTGGTGCCGATCTCTGATTCACTGCCACTGAGACTGATTTCTTTCTGGGTGAGGCAAAGGATAAGCAACCAAGGGCTGTGCAGGGGCCCCCTGAGTTTCGCCCACACACTATTTGGAGGCAGGCACACACTCTGTCTTTGTGACTGTAACAGAACATGAACACACATTGGGTTTTGTGTAACTTGAATCCCTCTCTGAAGAACTCTGGATCCAGTCCACCCTCCCCCACAGTGAGTTAACCACACTGTCCTGGCTTCAGGGGGGCTGGCAGAAATGACTAAGCTGTATTTTGCAGCCAAAAGTCATGTCATGTCATTCTTGTCCCGGAAACCAACAAAGTACTTAAGGTAATGATTTGGTCTGTTCATTCTTTGGTTTTTTGCCCACTCTCTTCTCAAGCCCATTCCCCAACAGGTCCCTCGGCCCCAGGACACTTGTATCTGCAACCTTCTGGTACCTTCCAGAAGAAAGGGGCTCATGGCCTGAGATGCCTCTTCAAATCAGGCCAGGGAAAGAACCTACCTGGAAAGGAGGTGGAGCAGAGCTAGGGTGAGGCATGAGTATTCAGCACCTGGGGCCACATGGAAGAAGGGGCATGCCACCCCCCCTGCACTTGCATGACCTTAACAGTAAGCACCTGCCTAGGTTTTACATCCTGCGGGGCTCACTTGCCTCACCTTCATCCGGCATTGGTGTGAAGGATATTACTAACCCTGAAGGAAGTTGTTCACTTCCCTGGTTCACAAGCCCAGAATCCTTTTTTTAAAGATACCAGTGCCACAGTTTCACCCAGTCCAATGAAATTAGAACCTTTGGGTGTGGAGCCTGGGTTCACGCATCCCAGGTGACTCTCTTGTGCAAGCATGGTTGAGAGTTGCTGGTCTCAGGGCTCACCTTAGGCCACAGGTACTGGATGCGTGCTCTGCCGATGTCTGCTGCAATTTGGCCAGGGCTCAGTTACCTCTGTGCTGACTTGGCCCCTCCAGGATTTTCTCTGGGCCCTCAAGACCTGAGGTCTGGCTGGACTTCCAGGCAGACTTACCCAGGCAGTCCGATCTTGGCTACAGTACCAAGCACCCCCACTCCCAACTCCCCAGCCAGACTTTTGGCCAAGTTCCTCACCAGCCTCTGGAAACCACAGAGATTCCCATGCTACGCCACACTTCCTGTGATGTGGCCAACCCCGTGGTGGCTCAGGGAATGTGTGAGGTTGTCCTTGCAGATCCCAGAAAGAGGACTTTGACAAAGTGTTTTCCTCAACTTTCCAAACACGTATCCCCCAGACTGAAAGCTAGGGTGGGGAGATGGAAACCCGTGCCTGTCTGACTGCCTGATCGCCTTCTCTGTCTCCCCTTTTCTCATGATCTGTCGGAAATAAAGGGATGGGCTTCTCCTCCTCCTTTTCCTGCCTTGTGAGGACCGTTCATTGATAAAGTTCCATAATTGGATCATCCAGGCCTTGAAAAATCTGAAAAAAGGTCTTCTCTACTTAGCATCTGACTCTCAAGCCTACTGTCATTTTGGGGACTCACAAAAATCTGACGTGACAAGTGAAACCTGAGGAATGGCAGAGATGTGTGCTGCCCCACCCTCTGAAGCATTGACATTCCCTGCTATAACCAGCAGGAAGCCCAGAGCAACAAGATTTATAGGGTATAGAAACACTTCGGAAAATATTTCAGACAACATCATCACTACTTTATACATTTTGTGCCAAGATTCAACATTTTATACAGAGCCTTGGAAAGCCTCTTCCCAGGTCTCGGCTCCTTCTCCCAGCATTGGAGAGGCAGGTAGAAGGGGCACATTTTTATTCCCACTTTCTATTTGTACAAAGAGACAGAGGAGAGAATCACATGAATACTGGGGCCCCGAGGGCAGGGGGTAGAGTTGTCAGGCCAAAGGGACAGAAACAGGAGCTCTGAAGTGGGTCTTGAGTTTCTGTTAATGTACTTATTAGCCTCCTTAAGCCTCTGAGCAGATGTGGTATATTTTAAGAAAGTTGAAGTCTTTGTCTCAGCTACGA